CATAGAGACTTCAATCGTAACTCAAGCGAGTCGTTAATATAAGCTGATTGAGAACTCGACACTTCCATCTAGCCATCCAAAGATCCCTTTGTTTTTTTTTTTTTCGTGAATACCAAGAGTGGTTGGTCGGGTTCCATTGAGTCAGGAAGATCAGACTCACCTTTCAGATAAACGCCAGAACAAAAGCCTGATGAATCTGCTACTCTCGTCAGCTGAGGAGCTCCCTTGAATTCTCGAGTTCGGCAACAACGGACCAGCACCCTACCGGTTACCAGCTTACCAGCTCATCAGTTCACCGAGTGTAACATCATCCGGCTTGACCGCCGAGATCCACATGATCCTTTGGGTACCCTTCATGTATGTGCCACCGCTTGACTGATAAGTGGCCCTTAGATCTTTCCAGAGAAATCTGAAGCCCAACTGTGCTGCTTTATTCTGCTCGTAGTACGGCCGTTGATGATAGGTGGCCCTTTTCCCTGTGTGCCAGCTCAGGCGTGCTTAATCTCATCACAACCCTCATGGGATTCCTTTGTTGGTGGAAGATGACCAAGCCCGGCTGAGGAAGGAGAACCAATCCTCCCATTCTGCCTGCGGAGTGGCCTGAGCCCATGGCGCCACCTTTGTGAGGCTGATCGCAGATACCATCCTATCTCTTGGCTCTCAGTACCCATCTTTGTGTTTGGCTGAGCATCTAGGCAGAGGAGGTGCCGATTGCTGTTGTCGGCCTCCTTCCTGCAGGCGTCGCTACTTTCATCGGAGCCGGGCAGGGTGTCGGAGTTCGAAGGATGGCTATTAGCAATCGCCGAGACCGGTGCAGTTCCTTCAGCTGCCACTGGGAGAACGTCCCACTTGGATGGCACAACACTCCGCCCTTAATCCATCAGTCCAACAATATCTATTCTAATGTGTCCCGACGAGCCAAAACTGGCTCGAGTGATGTCATGCTTCCCTCGAGGCGCCGAGACTCGTCTGTCTCCTTCGGCCATGTAAGTCACATTCAGATCTGCTTCTCCTTTTACCGAGACAGCTCTTGGTCTTGCTTCTCAGTTTCAGCGACTGGGTTCTTCTTGTT